GTTACCCCCGTGGGTAACAGAGCAGCAGGTCCCCCCTTCCCGTCCCGAGGGGTGTGCCCACGCGGGAACACCCCAGCCCTGCCCGGGGGGGTTTCCCTGCAGGAGCGCAGGGCGCTGCCAGCCTCTGGCCAGCGCTCACCTTACAGGTTGGCATCGTACGCTGCGTTGGTGAAGGTGCCCGGCGCTCCGAGGTCACTGGAAAACAGACACGAGGGTGTCACCTCGGGGGGACACATGGCAGAGTGGGAAGGGCAGGGGACGGCATAGCCTTGTGCGCCCCCAAAATGCACCTCCTGTGTATAAAAGCAGCCTCGCACAGGCAGATCGGGGTGACGCGGGGTGACCACAGGGTTGTCATGGGGAGAGGACAGAGCCACCCTCTTGCAGAGCATGGTTCTCACCTGGTGGGGTTCAGGAGCTTCTTCTTCTCCTCTGATAATGGTGTCAAAGTGTCCCCAGGGACGGAGCAGATAGAAAAGAAAGAAACAGATCTTTTTAGTGAAGGACTTGAGAAACTGCAGCAGCAGCGAGTTTGACAAGCATGGGGTGGAGCGGGGAGGGGAAGCTGTAGCATTTGCCATCTTCCCCTTCCCAGTGAAGGTGTTTTTCTGGCTCTGCCCTCCAAACCTGGCTGCTGACACTTCCAGTTGGACAAACTGCCAAGGAAGTGCTGCTGGACCAACGTGACCCACAGCAAATAAGACACATGGATTGAGGCAGTCACACTATTAAACTCTTCACATTGTCCCACCCTCCCCTGGGACTCTGTGACCCCTTGTCTGAAAGCCCCCAGCCAAAGTGATGGTGGGCTGCGGGAGGAGTTTCTGTACCTCTGTCACTGAGCCGCTTGGCCAGGAGGGCAATGAGTGTCCCCACGAGCACCATGCCAGCTACCGTCAGAGCCGTGCCACTGCTGTAAGCCAGGACTTGCTTTAAGAAGGGGGCACCATCCTCTGAAACACATCCACAGACCCACCAGTTAGAAAGTTGTCAGAAGGACTTCACAGCACCCAAGCTGCTGGGGTGCCCCCCACCATGTTCAAGATGTGCTGCAGGAAGCTGGACCTCCCCCCCAGTGATAAAGGAGCTGGGGGTCCCACTGTACCTGCACAGAGAGGGGGATGCCCGGTCCAGTTCCCTGTGGCTGCACACTGGAGCTCCTGTGCTCCCACCCGAACAAACCCCTCCTCACAGGAAAAGGTGCACATGGAGTTGAACGTGAAGTTCCCATGCACATGAGAGCAGCTCAGCCGGCCTCTGCTGGGGGGTTCCAGCACCGGGCAGCTGATGGCTGGAGATAAAGCACAGAGGCAGCATCAACAGGACAAGACCAGTGGTAGTGGGACGGGGACAGAGAGGCTGGGGAACCAGGGGATGAGCTGGCACAGACTGGGGGTGCTAAGGGGAAGGGGATGCTGTGGAAAGCAATGTGTGACAACAGAGCACTTCTGGACACGCGTGTGATCAGGAGATCTACCTTTGCATTGTGGGGCATCCCCAGTCCAGGTCCCTGTGGCCGTGCACTCACGGTTCTCTGGCCCCATCAGCACAAACCCCATCTGGCAGGAGAAGGCACACGTGGAGCCAAAAGCAAAGTCCCCGTGGAGATGGGAACAGGAAGCCTGGCCCATCTTCGGGGTGGCCATTGCTGAGCATTTGATGGCTGCAAATGTAAAGAGGCAAACTTCAAGCAGGAGCCTGGGAGGCTGAACTGTTGAGATGAAGAGGCCAGGGAACATGCTAGTGTCACCCCAAGGTCAGTGAGACACCCTGAGCTCTAGCAGCAGCTCTACCTTCACAGCGTGGGCTGTCCCCAGTCCAGGTCCCTGTGGCCGTGCACTCACGGTTCTCTGGCCCCATCAGTGTGAATCCTGTGTGGCAGGAGAAGGAACATGTTGTGAATCCTGTGTGGCAGGAGAAATAACATGTGGAGCCGAAGGCGAAGTCCTTGTGGAGGTGGGAGCAGTTCATTTCTCCTTGATCTGGAGTGCTGAGCACTGGGCAGGTGATGCCTGCAGGGATAGATACACACTTCAAGCAGGAGCCTGGGGACCACAGGGCTGAACTGCTGGAACAAGAGTACCCAGACACCTGAGAACATCTCAGGGTCAACCCAAGGCTTGTGATACCTTGAGTAGCAGCTCTTACCTTCACAGTGTGGGGCATCCCCAGTCCAGGTCCCTATGACTGTGCACTCGCGACTCTCTGACCCCATCAGCACAAACCCTGTCTGGCAGGAGAAGGCACACGTGGAGCCAAAGGCAAAGTCCCCATGGAGGTGGGAGCAGTTCATCTCTCCTTGGTCTGGAGCACTGAGCACTGGGCAGGCGATGGCTGGAAAGTAAAGAGGCAAACTTCAAGTAGGAGCCTAGAAAGTACAAGGCTAAACTTCTGAGACAAGGAGACCAAGACACCCAAGAACATCCCAGGGTCATCCCAAGACCTGTGACATCTTGAGCAGCAGCTCTACCTTTGCATTGTGGGGCATCACCAGTCCAGGTCCCTGTGACTGTGCACTCACGGCTCTCTGGCCCCATCAGTGTGAATCCCGTCTGGCAGGAGAAGGAACACGTGGAGCCGAAGGTGAAATCCCCGTGGAGGTGGGAGCAGGTCATTTCTCCTTGGCCCCATCAGTGTGAATCCCGTCTGGCAGGAGAAGGCACACGTGGAGCCAAAAGCAAAGTCCCCATGGAGGTGGGAGCAGTTCATCTCTCCTTGGTCTGGAGCACTGAGCACTGGGCAGGCGATGGCTGCAGGGAGAGACACACTCCAAGCAGGAGCCTGGGGACTACAAGGCTAAACTGCTGGGACCAAGAGGTTGGGCTGACTCTAGTATGTTCCCCAAGGTCAGTGAGACACCCTGAGCTCTAGCAGCAGCTCTACCTTCACAGCGGGGGCTGTCCCCAGTCCAGGTCCCTGTGGCCGGGCAGCCACGGCTCTCTGGCCCCCTCAGTGTGAAT